TTCTATTTGCCGAAAATGAGAAGTAATCCGTGCAACAGGCTCGTTCAGCTCAATTCTCTCTTGTACGATCTTTAATAATATACATAAGCAATTAAAAGTTAAGATAATCCCGAACTGTTATTGCATAAATAACTTTGATAATAAATAAATAATAAATTTAAAAGTAAATAAAAATATATTTGATATAAATATATAGCTTACAAATTCAAACTTTTTAAAATTCGTTGAGATAAAAATCCATATTACACAATGTAGCGTTTCTATGTAAAATTATCTACGCGACTAGGTACAGCAAACATCATACGTTTCATAATTATTTCATAATTATCGCATTATAACTTATTAGAAATACATTTATATATTTTTGTCAACTAATTTACTTTAGAAGCCATCAGTTTCTTCCGAAACATTTCCATTATTATAGAATCGATTAATGCTTCACAACTTCGCAAAAATCGCGCGCACGTATATCGCCGTGATGCAAGCCACGTAAAGGAGCTTAACCCTAAAAGTTTTACAATATCGGCGGAAAGTATTCGAGCACTACGGTTGAATGTACTACGTCTTCGGAGATATTTTATTAAACTTCAGTTGTAAAACGCAACGCATGGCGACGTATCGCGGCACGGAAAGCGCATAAAAATCCGTAAGTAGATGTACGAAACGTCACTACGTAGTCACGTACCGTCATGGAATATTAAAATGTCGGCAAATACATTCCGATCGAGGCTCAAACTGCCCGAGAAGATTTCGACAGTTTATTGAAAGTTTTCCCAAGTTTGCATGCTTCTCCGAAGTCGCCTTATTCCTAACGAGCTCCTCTATCGACAATCTTGGACGATTTTTAAAATTCTTGTAGATATACAGGATATCACGGAACACTTTTTTGCGACAACTTTCAGATTCTTCGTCTAATTTGAAGTCGATTTTTTTTTCCCAACGAGAATTTTATCAGATGTTATTCTTCTTCACAATGCTTGAAATTCCAAGTTAAATATTAATAAGTGTAATTTCAAATTTTGTTGAGATTAAGTTACTAAAAGTAAAACCGGAGCAAGCAAAACATAATTTACTTGTAATCCGGAAACTTAATTCCGGTTGAAACTTTTTGGTAATCAATCAATCACTTCAATCTAAATATTTTT